AAAATGTTAAAGATAGTCTAAGAAAAATTGCTTGGTACTGAGGGGCCTGAAAAAATAAGTACTAAATATTGCCTCCAGGTCCAAGGTAGGATGGTTTCAGAGAGAAAACATTTTAATTGTGCCTTGAAAAACAAGATACAGTGGGAAGACAAAGCAGAAGAGCATGTGGATATCATTTAGTATGAAAGGCACAAAGCTAAGAAACGCAAACATACTCTACCTATGAGGTCAAAACTGAAACAGTTGAAGGTCTAAAACCTGTAAAGGAGGAAGCAGACATTTCTGTTTGGATGGAATCATTCAAGCAAAACCTTACTTGCTTAAATTAGTCTGGATTAGGAGTTAGGAACTACAAGCCCAGAAAATGCCCTTGATAGATTTACACTTTTTAGACATTTTCAGCCCTTCACCTAGATGTGCTTGGTGGTGGATATTACTAGGGTGCCCACTCTTTGCTCCTGTCTCGGATCAGGTAGGACAAGTGCAGGCTGCCGTCCGCACGTTTCCCTAGGAACTTGCCAATTATTCACACACCCGAGTGTTCCCCACGCGCTGGGCCTTCTTGACGTGCCGCATTCCATTTATGGCAACTCACTGACACCCTTCTCAAGAGAGTCTGAGGCCTTTGGGGAAATTAGTGGCATTCTTTATTGCAGACAAGAATGTGTTTCCTGAAAAAGACTCAGCGACTCAGAAGTTTTTCTGATTCAAAACTGACCTTCCCTTACAATAGTGTTCTGTTTCCACACAGGAAATGACAATCTTGTACCTGAAACTTCCTGTAGAAGGAAGTACTACTGACTGTCCTCTAAAATCTGTTCTAAAATTTAAGACAAATATGGGTGCCCCTGTTTATAGTGATGCGTACATGTAAGTGATTTGAGGGGAAAGGATGGTTAGATATTACATTATCTAAAAGAAAGAAAGGAAGAAGGAAGGGAGAAAGAAAGAAATGGAGAGAGAGAGAGAAGGAAGTAAGGGAGAAGCGAGGGAGGAGGACGGAAGGAGAACAGAGAACACCCGTGTAGCCAAAACGCCTGTTTATCCCAAGTCACTTTTTTTAAATTTAGTATTTCCTAATAGTTCAGGTCACTGTTTCTCTGAAAGTAACTTCAAAATATCTGATGGCCACAAGCATGCCTTCATGCAATTAATGCTATGCTTACCCTTAATCATCTCTCATGAGATCACCATGTATTAAACTCAGTGATTTCCAAGAATTTTAGCAGTAACCAAATTGCTTTGTTTTCCCAACCATGCCTCTCTCCCAAGCCAGCATGTCCAGATATATGTCTCTTAAATAAATTCCATATGATGCAGATTTTTTTAATAGAGAAAAATTAAATATTTCTTGGAGAATTTCAGTGCATTGCTTTACATAATTACTACAGCCCTTGGGTTAAGGAAAGGCAGACCTGGATTAATATCATGCAACACACAGCCCTAGAGTAAAAGCCAGTCATCCACTCCAGTCTGGCCTGTTTCTCACAGTTCCAAGTGTGTCTGTTCAGAGGCCTCTATTTGTGATTTAGCCCTGCCAGCTAAGGGCCAAAGGGCAGAATCCCCTGGACCCTTATCCCATTATCTTTGTGTTAAGTAGTTAGAAAAGAAAAAGGAGTCCAGAATGGCAGTGGCTAAAAGACAAAGTAGGGAAAAGCCCACGAAAATAGAACAAAGGAAGGTCGGAAGACTGGAGTGAGAACCTCAGGTGAAACAAACAGCCCTCCTGGCTAGCCCAATTTACATAGGGCAGGCTCAGGGGGAAGAGAAAAAACGTTTAAAAAGAGGAGCCAAAATTGGGCCTCTGGCCTCTCTTCTGTTCACCTTTCCTTTAGGGTCAGCCTGTCGTGCCTCGAGGGTGTAGGTTCCTTTGCTTGCCGAGTAAAACTCTGAGCTGTAATCGAGCTGTAACGTGGGTCTGCTGTTTCAAATCTTTGCAGTGAGACAGAACCAAGGAAATTACACCCTCCCCCTGACGTTTGCATACTCTTACTAAAGCTGTTGTGCTATGAGTGTTTGTAATTTAAATGTAACAAAGCACAAAGAAAAATTTTCCAAGGGATATAATGTCCAGTGATTTCTCAAACAACTGTATGATAAATTTCTGTTCAAAAGGAGAATAGGATTACTTGAGCTCATTGGATTGCCTCTTAACCAGATTCCTATCAGGGGTCACAAACCAGATTGAACTCTTAGAATCATCTGCAATGGGTGCTGTTCTTATAAAGTGACTGAAAAAAATGTACTAAAAATATATAATGAGATGTAATTTACACCTCAAAAACCAAGTGTAAATTACAGAAGCAACTGAATGTAAATAAATACCGGCTGACATGTTCAACATTCACTACTGCTTACAGAACACCTCTTTGGTGCCTGACTGTTCTAGATGCTTCAGATGCACCTCTGAACAGAGTATGTACTTGAGGCATTGGTCCCTCTTGAGCTTATTTTCTTTCATGAGATGACAGGTCGAGGAATAAATGATACATTATGTTAGAAGATAAGTGACGTGGGAAAAAATAAGGCAAGGAATGGAGATAAGGAATGTCTTCTCGGTATTATGGGAAAGAGGGGAAGAGACAGTCAGAGAGAAAGTGACATTTGAGTAAAGATTTAAAAGTATACAAAGAGTAAGGCATGTGAAGGTAGAGCAGGCAAGCATTCAGAATGAGGCAACAGCAGGTGCAAAGTTCCTGAGGCAGAAAAAGGTCTGGGCTGTGTCCAGGGAACAACAAGGAAACCAGTATTGCTTGCTGATGTGGGCTTGAGTCAGAGAACAAAGGGCAGAATGGATCCTAACAGCTGGTTTAGCTTTTATTCTCAGTGAGGCAGATATTAATTGGAGGGTTATGAGCAGAGAAGTTACATTATCTGACTTAACTTTTAACAGGATCACTCCAGTTCCTGTGGCACGCTTCTTAAATCAGGGAACTCGTTAGAAGATTCACAATTGAAATGTTCTACTTTTCAAAAATGGCTTATGTACAATTTATGTAATTTCCTTGTGAAAATGTTATGTGCTTTCTAGGTGATGAGTGCATATTGACTTGCTTTTTTTTGGCTAAATGTAGCAAAAACCAGGTGTAAATGTGTATTTGTTTCTTCCCCTCTAATGCTACTCACCTGTCACATAACTGAAGCGTTTTCCCCCCAATGGATGTAACGTTACAGCTCTTGATAATACTCCTGGGCCCTGTGGAAACCCACTCTAAATTTTCTTGCACGTGTGCTGTGTTCAGTCCTGCCTCTGCCCCTTATCCTTACTGCTCATTGTGCTTGGAATGTCATCCCTGACTCCTTTCCACCAGCCCTTCAAAGTCAGTTCAGTTCCTCTGAAGTCTCCGCTGCTCATTTCCATTGCTACGAATATTAACCCCTTCTCCAAAACATCATACTCAGAATGTGCGTCATCGAGTTTAGCATCTATTTGTGAACTGCGCTGTTTTTAAACAGTTTCATGTATTTGCTTTTTCTATTTAACCAGGGATCTCCTGTAAAACTGGGTGCTTGTCTGTGTGAGTCTCAGGTCTCAGCTCACAATAGGTGCTCAATAATTACCTGATGGTTTGTAGTTTAACCCTTCGACTCATTTCTAGTCGATATATCTATCACAGTGAGACTAGGCTATTCAAAAAGCCGAGTTTTCAATGCAGGCATGTCCTCGGAAAGCCTGAGGAGATGGCTGAAAGTCCAGCAAACCAGGTGAGGGAGCTACTCTAGTTTCGCTTTGGAGTCAGGGCACCAGTGTCGCTGTTCCCCTTCCCAGGTGCTGAATAGCTGACACACGTCTTCTTTACTATCCCATGAAGTGAAAAAGCAGTTGATTTGTGTGTCTTTTCAGCTACTATTAACTATAATCTTTGTTTTGCCTCCTTGTTACTTTGTTGCACTGCATTTTTTGGTAGCATCTATTGCACACGGAAAGCTTTTGTGTTAGAAAACATCTTTATTATATATTCTAACATGTTATAGTCCACCACAATAAGCAATTAATCAATTGATAGCAGGAAGTAATCAAATGCTTCATTTCAGAGTTCTTAAGCATGAAAGACACACATTCAAAATAAAACAATATGTATAAAATGTGTGTGTAAGATCAATGTATCTAAGGAATAGAGAATATATTTTCCAATATAGTCCTGGCCAGGTATATATCAATTTGAGTTTCAAAGAAACACAGACTTGTTATTTCAATCATGAACGAGCTGAAATTGGTTTTGTAAATGGATGTCAAGGGTCAGTAGTAGGGATAGTGATTAAAGATGCATTTGTCTAGGCTCTTCACATATTTTTGTTATCAGAAGAAACCATTTCTTGTCATTGAGATGCTTTGCTTTCTTTAAAACCAGTAGTGATTGTAAATGAAAATAAGTGTACTATTGAATTTTATATCTTACATTGTTTTTAGTGATGGAAGTCAATGTACCTCGGAGTTCCCTTCAAATGAGAAGTAATGTTGTAGTCTACACAAAAAACTAACTCCTAAGATAGCCACCTGGACCCAGAAAGCATACTAAAATCAAGTGTATCATTTGAATGGGGCTAAATTTACTGACTTGATCTTCTGCCTCTATAAACAGGCATTTGTTTCTACTATTGAAATAATAAGGAGAAGCAGACAAGACAGATGGAAGAAACTTCACTTAGATCCTGTAATGCATGCAGGAATATGTATATGTGGGCACTTTCTTGTTTAAGGGATAAAGTTATTTGCTGATAATATAATTCAGTTTCTTAGTCCATTAACATTTAATGTTTCAATTTCAGTGAATCAGTATTGAGGAAAATTATTTTTAGATATCAGTGTTTCATTTCTAATAAAATCAATGGATAATTTGCATGTATTATTCAAAGGAAGAAAGAATTCTGTTATTCTGTATTAACTCATAAAAAGCTTACAAAGGATTATGGGGCTTTTAAAAAATATTGTCATTAAAAATAATCACAGCCATCTTTTCCCATATTACCTGACTAACAATCCTTGCTGTATACTTCAGGCATGAACTTCTAGAAGAAGCTCGGAGAAAGGGATTACCTTTTGCCCAATGGGATGGGCCCACTGTAGTCGCATGGCTAGAGGTAAGAGAATTAAATCAGAAGACTTTCAATCCAATCCAATTTTTAGAGACAAGTAAAGCCAGGTTCCTGACATCTTCATTTTTCTGGTAGTCTGGAATAGCTTATAAAGAGAATGTTTGCTTTATCTAGGGACCCACAGTCATAGCTGTGATTTTTCTCTGATGCTTTCTTGTGACTGTGGCAGAGCAGTAGGCAGTGAGATGAAAGAAAGTTTTAGTAAATTCCGTGCTCTTTATATCTAGAGTAAGTCAAGAAACAATTCTTGAGTAACACTCCTTGGAGAGTAAAGCATCTGCCTGCAATGTAGGAGACCCAGATTTGAACCTTGGGTCAGGAAGATGTCCTGGAGAAGGGAATGGCAACCCCCTCCAGCATTCTTGCCTGGAGAATCTCATGGACAGAGGAGCCTGGCGGGCTACAGCCCATGGGGTCACAAAGAGTCGGACACAACTGAGCGACTAACACTTTCATGTGTGGTTGCTAGGAAGCATCTGTCCAGCACATTAGCCCAGGGCCCTTCCTCATCAGCAGGTTAACAGAGAAGAGCCATGTCCGTATTTTTAGCACTTCTGTGTGATCCAAGACATTTGCAGCCATTCCTTTGCTTGTAGGACATTCCTGAACATGAAGGAGCCAGCTAGATTTAGACATTTGTGGAGTTTTGCAGAATACGCAAACCCTTGTTCCCTTTGGTGTCTAGACTGAATGTTTTTAATGAAATGAGAACTACAGTTAGCATATCCTGCACAACACAATGGCCTGGATAAATGAATCAATACCTGATCAGCAGAAGCAGGCCAGGATGGTGAAGAAAATACATATTTGACCACAAAGGGCCCTTTCATACCACTTCTCAATAGTTTCACTGCCCCTTCTGTTCAGTTCTCTAATGTGGGCTGTTGGCAGCTGCTCGGATATGCTGGTATCAAGATGAGGGGGAGTAGAGTCAGTCCACCATATCCATGGGTTCCCTGTCCATGGATTCAACCAAACACGTTCAATCTGATACAGATCCCTGGATGAGCCCTGGACAGTCAGGCCCCATAGGGACTCTAGCATCTGCAGATTTTGGTCTGCAACATCCTGGAGCCAATAGCCCAAGAACACCAAGGGACTGACAGTATGAACTTTTGTTGCTTGGCAGAGACAATTAGAACCCATTGTTTTAAAAGGTTCAGGATTATAAAATCGTTCACCTTCGTTGTTATATCAAATCCAGAGCTAATGAATTAATCAATGAGGGACAACAAAACTCATTTCAGTTTAAAAAATTATCTTGCCCAGATAAATATAAAATCATGCTTTGCATTTTTTTTTTTTTTGGACTGAGTGAAAGAAGCCTGTGTCTTGCTTTATTTTATTCTTTCATATCAGTCAGGAAATTTTTTAGCTTATTAGTGATCAGAGTTGTTCTTCCAAATATGTCTTTAAAATTACTATATTTAAAAAATCAATAATAAGACAAAATGTTTAAGAAAGCCCACCACAAAACTGAGAGCAACTCATTGTGCAGTTTCTCTCCAGTAAAATGAGCTATGGTTTCACAGAGTTAGCTGCTATTTTGGCAAGTGATGAACAGATCCTTTATTTAAAAAACAACAACAAGATTTACTGACATTAAGGGCCTAAAAATGACAGGCAGCGGCGTTTCTGCTAATTAAAGCTTTCCTGAGCACACAAAAATTGCTTCTAGTCTGCTCCCTAAAGTGACTGAAATTATAAAATGGAATAAACACAGTGAGTGCGGTGGGTGATCCAAAGAATGAGAGCTCTTAACTTTCACCTCCTTTAGTACCTCCTTGAGTGCACAGCCCACTGAGTGATGGATACAAATAAGTCTGATGCTTCACACACCAAGAACTTTGTGAAAGTCTAATCAGGGATGGGGGCTTTCCAGGTAGCGCTAGCAGTAAAGAACCTGCCTGCCAGGGCAGGAAATGTTAAGAGTTGTGGGTTCCATCCCCGGGTCTGGAAGATCCCCTGGAGAAAGACATGGCAACCCACTCCAGTATTCTTGCCTGGAGAATATCATGGGCAGAAGAGCTCGGCAGGCTATAGTCCATAGGGTCACAGAGTCAGACATGACTGAAGCGACTTAGCACACAGCACAATCAGGAATGACCTTGGTAACCAGGTATTAGCAACCATGTATTGGTAATGTTAACCAGTATGGAAGTCCAAATATCTTAGTATAGAGGAGGTGAAAAGAAGTGAAAATCATCCAGGTCCAGTGAAGGTATATTTAGGTGTTTAGGTATTTTGAACAACTTCAGTTTACAAACTATGAATTCAAATCCAGTCTTTTCTCGTATATAATCATATCTGTCAAGGCAAGGTCAATTCCTGTGCCTAACATGTAGGAGATGCTATTGTGAGTCATGCACCGCACCTGTCTCCTTTCTCTTATCTCAGTCACAGCCCAGGCCACGTTGGATGAATGATTTCACTTTTTAATTCCTCTACAGAAGCAAGCAACCCTTTAACATAGAAGAATTTTTAAAATTAAAAAAAAATCAGTATTAGTTATTTATCATCACGTAGCAAATTATCCCAACACGTAGCATTTCTTTTCCTCATGACTTCTGTGGGTCAGGAATCTGGACATGGTTTACCTACGGCCTCTATCAAAGTCTCTCACAAGACTGCGGGCAGAGTGTCAGCCCAGGGCCCCAGTCGTGTCAAGACTTGACTTGGAGGAAAATCCAATTCTGAGCTGACTCCGCTCCTTGCTGCTGTTGGCCAGAGACATCTGTTCCCTTCCACATGAGCATCTCACAGGAGTGCTCACAGCTCGACAGCTGGCTTCCCCCAGAGCAAGAGCTCAGAGGAGAGAGGCAGAGAGGACCAGCTGGAATGAAGCCCGTCTGTTCATAACCTAACCTAGAAAGTCACATCCCATCACTTTCGCACATGTGCTAAGCTGCTTCAGTCGTGTCTGACTCTGTGCAGTCCTGTGGACTGTAGCCTGCCAGGCTCCTCCGTTCACAGGATTCTCCAGGCAAGAGTACTGCAGTGGGGTGCCATGACCTCCTTTAAGGGATCTTCCCAGGGATCGAACCTGGGTCTCTGGCGTCCCTTGCACTGGCAAGTGGGTTCTTCACCACCAGCGCCAGTCACTTTTATCACAGTCTTTTCATTACAGTAAGTCTCCAGGTCCAGCCCCAACTTGGAGGAAGTGGGTGATACAAGTGCAGGAATATCAGGAAGTGAGATTATTTGGAACCATCTTAGAAGCTGCCTAAAACAAAGCCTTAGGAATAATAAAGCCAAATCTCATCCATTTTATAAATGAGGGCAACAGGGCTGAGGTACAGAGGACTTCTACAACTCACCAGTGACAGGGAAGGCCCGAGCCCTCTGATTCTTAGTCTAGAGCTCTTGGCGTTATATGTTGCTGATTTATGGTTTTTCTTCTCTTGTTCCTTCACTTGCGCTCACTCTCAGTGTTCTCTCCTTTTGCTCAGTCTGTTCATATCAACAAATATAATACCTCCCCAAAATAGTATTTTAGCTTTTTAAAAATTTAAGCTCACCAGTAGGTGCCCCACTTCTTATTCATAGCTAACGACAAGGGAGCGGGCAGAGGGATGGCAAGAATATTCCTTACGAACCGTGTGCAATTCTGATGCTCCAACTCAGTGCATCCACGCTGGGCTTCACATGCATGCTGGGCATCATGCTGTGTTCACTGCACTACCAATTCAACTGTCTTTCCAAAGCCTCACAGCAAAGTTGAAAAATCAGAGTCCGTAATTTCTAGAGCATTATTCATTTTGTAACTCTCTTTAATTAATGTTTTACAGGTGCTGATACTGTTAGCCTCTTCCATTAGCCCATCATTTCATTCTCCAAAAAGTATTTTCCTATTTAGCATCTAATTGAGCACATACAAATTAGCACATAGCATAGGTAGGTAGGTTGGAAATGTCGCTTAGCCACATTAAAGCCTTTGATCAAAAGCACTCAGAATTCCAAAGGAGAATTATAAATTGAAGTCATTTATTAAACAAATGTGTTAATTGAGCCTTTACCAAATGCAGCTTGTAGCTGTTCTTGTCCTTAAACTCTAGAGGAGATTTGGTGAGGTGCAGCTATTATATTTATCCCTCATAAATTCGTTGTTAAATTGCATACCCTGAAGGCTACCTTTCCAATCTTTATTTCCGTTACTGCCTAACTGGTTCTTTGAATAAATTAGTTAATGTCTTTGTGCCTCTTTCTGCTCTGGGGGAAATAATAATAGCACCTCTTTCATGGGGTTGTGGTATAAATGAGTTCATACAAGTAAGGTAATTAGAATACGATCTAGCACATAGTGTTAATGGTTAACTATGGTTATAATCTGGGTACATTTTTTTCCCCAATCCAACAGCTCTGGTTGGGAATGCCTGCTTGGTACGTGGCAGCCTGCAGAGCCAATGTGAAGAGCGGTGCCATTATGTCTGCTTTATCGGACACTGAGATCCAGAGAGAAATTGGAATCAGCAACCCTCTGCATCGCTTAAAGCTCCGATTAGCAATCCAGGAGATGGTTTCCCTAACCAGTCCTTCAGCTCCTCCAACATCCAGAACTGTGAGTCCGTTTGCACTCCTCCCCTCTCCCAGGGCTGGGCGGACAGCAGCCTCCCCAAGCCCACAGAGCAGTACTGTGGCAGCAAGCATGTCAATGTCAGCATGCATTATTCCCAGATCTAGCTTGCTCTTCATTAACCTTGCTGCTACTTTTAATAGGTTTTCAATTGAAGAGCTGTGAGTCCTATCAGACTTGAAGGCTGCAACCAAAATAGACTTTCGAGCTAGCCTCTAAAGTTTAGATTTTTCTCCCAAGCAAGACCAAGAGTTTATTCTTTCATGAGATTTTTCCTTTTTAATGTAATCCAGCATCTCAAGGTGAACTCTAGGCAGCAGTACTTTTTGAAGATGTAATGCTAAACTCACTACCTCTTAAGTGGTTTTCATAAATGAAAGTACCTTAATATTTAATGTTTTATAAATACTGTGTGAATTACCTGCCCCCAAAACCTGTTTGCTTTTTATTTATAAATCCCTATTTCTCTCATAATTTTGTCCCTGTCTTAATATTAGAAAAGAACAAAATATTTTAAAAAGGAATACCAGATGACAAATTCAAACATTGAGAAAAACTTGCAAATAACATTCATTCTTTCCTTAGTCCTTCTCCAAATTATATCATTTTCTGATAAAGGATGTGATTTCTGATGTTAATTGGATTTTTCTGGTTCCATGTCTTATACAAAAAAAAAAAAAAA